GTGCGATTATTCGCAAATTGAAGAAACACAAATGAACTGTCAATCTCACTCGGCCTGGGGCTCCATGCAACATCTCACCTCGTGGAGTTGCAATGATCATGAGAACGGTGAGGAATCAGCCCAGAACTACACGGGATAATCTTGTCAATGATCTCAAGGCAGCTGGGACCATAGTCACCAAGAAAACAATTGGTAACACACTACGCCGCGAAGGATTGAAATCCTGCAGCGCCCGCAAGGTCCCCCTGCTCAAGAAAGCACATATTCAGGCCCGTCTGAAGTTTGCCAATGAACATCTGAATGATTCAGAGGAGAACTGGGTGAAAGTTTTGTGGTCAGATGAGACCAAAATGGAGCTCTTTGGCATCAACTCAACTCGCCGTGTTTGGAGGAGGAGGAATGCTGCCTATGACCCCAAGAACACCATCCCCACCGTCAAACATGGAGGTGGAAACATTATGCTTTGGGGGTATTTTTCTGCTAAGGGGACAGGACAACTTTACCGCATCAAAGAGACAATGGACGGGGCCATGTACCGTCAAATCTTGGGTGAGAACCCCCCCTGAAAATGGGTCATGAATGGGTATTCCAGCATGACAATGACCCAAAACACACGGCTAAGGCAACAAAGGAGTGGCTCAAGAAGCAGCACATTAAGGTCCTGGAGTGGCCTAGCCAGTCTCCAGACCTTAATCCCATAGAAAATCTGTGGAGGGAGCTGAAGGTTCGAGTTGCCAAACGTCAGCCTCGAAATCTTAATGACTTGGAGAAGATCTGCAAAGAGGAGTGGGACAAAATCCCTCCTGAGATGTGTGCAAAACTGGTGGCCAACTACAAGAAGCGTCTGACCTCTGTGATTGCCAACAAGGGTTTTGCCACCAAGTACTAAGTCATGTTTTGCAGAGGCGTCATATACTTATTTCCCTCATTAAAATGCAAATCAATTAATAACATTTTTGACATGCGTTTCTCAGGATTTTGTTGTTGTTATTCTGTCTCTCACTGTTCAAATAAACCTACCATTAAAATTATAGACTGATCATGTCTTTGTCAGTGGGCAAACGTACAAAATCAGCAGGAGATCAAATACTTTTTTCCCTCACTGTATCGGCCTACAACTTGTAAATCATTTTCTCCATTGAATGTGTGATTATACTGTGTCCTAATAGCCTGGTTAATATTCATTACATTTAACTTGTAAATGAATGAGATTTCGTTTTTGATTTTAAAAAAGTGGCATAACTTGGCTTTTGTGTTTATTTTTTGTTGTTGTTGAGTTTGTATTGATTTCAGGTTCATCGACAGCACCAGGTCATTTAAAGCTGTGTTGCTGGATATGTACGACACAGTGACCCTCCCAAAGTACACATATTTGGTTAGTAGAGACCCTACTGAGTATTTCCCACCACACTTTACCTGAGACAGGTAGAACAGGTCTCTCTACAAGCCAATAAGTGTCCGATATACCGTTTATTGCGTTGCAGTGAATGGAGTGGGTGGAGTAAGGAGTCACCAGTACTCTCTATTAAACCCGTTGCCCAGCACAAGAGACCCATTTAAGTTTTGCAGAATCTATTGAGTAATTCCAATAACATATATTTTTATTTTATTAAAAGTGTATTTATTTAAATATAGCCTACACAACAGCTTTCAACATACCAGTTTTAAAATACGTCAAATTATCAACAACAACAACATTCAAAGGTGGTTGCAATGCTGAGAAAAACAGGACTGCAATAGAGTGCATTTTTGTTGTTGTGGATATTCACCAAGATTAGCATATCTTTGCACCGGGACTCTTATTTTGAAAAAGAAATAATAATAATCCTCAATCTTACGGTAATGTGACACCAAAGTTTCTACTTGAAGCTCAAAAAACGTAATTACTTCTTATTTTTCTTCTTCTTCTTTATCTTCTTCATCTTCTTCTTCTTCTTCTCTTGTATAATGGTGTTCGCAATAATTGGATGTACATTCCGCCATCTACTGTGCGGGTGGATAATAAATATTTGTGTTATTTATATATATACAGTACAAGTGAAAAGTTTGGACACACCTACTTATTCCAGGGTTTTCTTTATTTGTATTATTTTCTACATTGTAGAATAATAGTGAAGACATCAGAACTATGAAATAACACATATGGAATCATGTAGTTACCAAAAAAGTGTTAAACAAATCTAAATATATTTTATATTTGAGATTCTTCAAAGTAGCCACCCTTTGCCTTGATGACAGCTTTGCACATTCTTGCCAAATGAAGGTCAGTCAATTTGTGGATGTCCATCATCCATTTCATATGTTACGAATTAGAATTCGTATGATACACTACATTACCAAAGTATGTTGACACCTGCTCGTCGAACATCTTATTCCGAAATCATGGACATTAATATGGAGTTGGTTATAACAGCCTCCACTCTTCTGGGAAGGCTTTCCACTAGATGTTGGGCGATTAAGCCTGGCTCTGGCTCGCAGCCGGCGTTCCAATTAATCCCAAAGGTGTTCGATGGGGTTGAGGTCAGGGCTCTGTGCAGGCTAGTCAAGTTCTTCCACACCAATCTCGACAAACCATTTCTGTATGGACCTTGCTTTGTGCACGGGGGCATTGTCATGCTGAAACAGGAAAGGGCCTTCCCCAAACTGTTGCCACAAAGCTGGAAGCACAGAATCATCTAGAATGTCATTGCATGCTGTAGTGTTAAGATTTCCCTTCACTGGAACTAAGGGGCCTAGCCCGAACCATGAAAAACAGCCCCAGACCATTATTCCTCATCCACCAAACTTTACAGTTGGCACTATGCATTCGGGCAGGTAGCGTTCTCCTGGCATCCGCCAAACCCAGATTAGTCCGTCGGACTGCCAGATGGTGAAGTGTGATTCATCACTCCAGAGAACGCATTTCCCCTGCTCCAGAGTCCAATGACGGTGAGCTTTACACCACTCCAGCCGACGCTTGGCATTGCACATGGTGATCTTAGGCTTGTGTGCGGCTGCTCGGGAAAACCCATTTCATGAAGCTCCTGACGAACTGTTCTTGTGCTGACATGGTTTCCAGAGGCAGTTTGGAACTCAGTAGTGAGTGTTGCAACCGAGGACAGACAATTTTGACGCGCTGTTCAAAACGGCCCTGTTCAACCAGCGCCTGGCCCCTCTCCCTGTCTGCAGCATCCCCCGTCTACAATCTGGAAGGTAGCGGTAATTCTAACGCTAGCGCCCACGTCACAGTGCCCAAGCTGCTGGCGGCAGCGTGCATGAGGGAGCCCAGGAGGGGCGAGGTGGTGGCGTCAGGGGTGGTGGGCAAGCCTCGCTCTGGGCTTCCTTGTCCTCTCACGGCGGATGAGGTGGATTGGAGAGCGAGCACAGTGTGTCCCCTGCAGAGTTGGCCCTGGGTCTGGGTTCTGCCTCGACATCATCCCCCCGTGGCGAGGAGGTACTAGGAACTCGGTAGTGAGTGTTGCAACTGAGGACAGACGATTTATCCGCGCTTCAGCACTTGGTGGTCCCGTTCTGTGAGCTTGTGTGGCCTACCCCTTTGCGGCTGAGCCGTTGTTGCTCCTAGACGTTTCCACTTCACAATAACAGCACTTACAGTTGACCGGAGCAGCTCTAGCAGGGCAGACATTTTACGAATTCACTTGTTGGAAATTGTGGCATCCTATGACGATGCCACGTTGAAAGTCACTGAGCTCTTCAGTAAGGCCCTTCTACTGCCAGTGTTTGTCTATGGAGATTGCATGGCTCTGTGCTCGATTTTACACACCTGTCAGCAACGGGTGTGCCAGCCCCATTTCCCCCCAGTTTTGCCAAAAGTGTGTGGTCCTCTGTAGCTCAGCTGGTAGAGCACGGCGCTTGTAACGCCAAGGTAGTGGGTTCGATCCCCGGGACCACCCATACACAAAAAAAAATAATTATGCACGCATGACTGTAAGTCGCTTTGGATAAAAGCATCTGCTAAATGGCATATTATTATTATTATAAATAGCCGAATCCACTAATTTGAAGGGTGTCCACATAGTGTATGTTACGAATTCCAATTTGTTTTGGCTAACGTTAGCTAGGTGGCTGGGTGGCTAACTCTAACGTTAGCTAGGTGGCTAACGTTGGCTAGGTTAGGGTAGAGGTTAGGGTTAAGGTTAGGAGTTAGGTTATGGTTAGGGGAAGGGTTAGCTAACATGCTAAGTAGTTGCAAAGTTACTGAAATGTATTAAGTAGTTGCAAAGTTGCTAATTAGCTAAACCAACCATCTCCTTTCGTTTTGGCCTTAAGTAACCTTCTGTCTTATGTAACCATACCTAACGTAACATATCATACTCATTTGAGTGTCCCAGATTTTCGTTTACTATGTTACATCTAGTCTATGAGACCAGCCTGTCAAGGGGAACAAAGGCAGTTGTTCTAACAAGGGTGGGGGGCTCATCTCAACAGTCCAAGTGGCTTAATCTACTCGGCGCCTTTCATTTATGTGTGCTTAAATGAAAGAACTGGACATGCAGAAAGCAATATACGAGGACAAAAAGCCACTTAGGACTATCAATGCATTCGTCATCATTGAGTAAATGCGCAGTCAGACTCATTTTAGGCTGCATGCAGTCGTGAGCAGGCGAGAAATTACGTCAGTCCAGAACATGAATAGCCCCGTATACTTTTGTTAGCGTATAACTATAGAACGGAAGTTTAGCTGCCTGTTTGCCTATTCACCCGTTGACAGTCGTCGCCAATAGGACAGCTAAATGATGTGCTCAAGAAGATACATTGTAGAGAAGCGGAATCTCAGACAACATTGAGACGTTGAAACAATAACTTGGGTAAGAAAATAGCTTTGCTGTTAGTTAGTTTTTTTGTTTCTACTATTGGATTAATTTGTGTTAAAAGGAATAACACGTTTAGATACGCCCTCTGTGTTTCTTTACATTCCTACATTGAATATAGATATACATTTTTAATGTGTGGTTACAAGAAGAAACGTCTCTAACGACAGGTGTATAGCCTAGCAAATAATGGACAGCTGCGGTGATAAAACCGCTTATTATTATCAATGGTTGTGTGATGTAGCCTAGTCATTAATGACCGAGTCTTTTATATAACAAAATGTAAGAGCATAAATATCATACTCCATTGTCTCGCTAATCAAAGTATTATCTTTTTGACTGCACTTATAAGTTATTGTTACTGATTGCTGTTTTTGCTTTTTCTCAGTAAATAATACAAGCTAAGTGATGAGCTTTAGTACTCCTGTCTTACCTTGCCATAAGCCATATTGTTGTTTTACTATATTATTTATGTTTTAAATAAATAGACAGCTTCAAAATATGTTTGTAAAACTATCATGCCAATCTTATGGACTGTCAGTCCTTACATGCCAGCCCCATTTCCCCCCAGTTTTGCCAAAAGTGTCTGGTTCAGAAATTGAAGGTGTGCCTTGTGTCAGCCCATAGTGCACTGGTTCCAAAAAGTCACAAGTCACAAGTCTCTCTCTCTCTCTCTCTCTCTCTAGAGAGAGAGAGAGAGAAGAGAGAGAGAGAGAGAGAAGAGAGAGAGAGAGAGAGGGAGGGAGAGAAGAGAGGGAGAAGAGAGAGAGACGAGAGAAAGAGAGAGAGAGAGAGGGAGAGAGAGAGAGAGACTGAGCGTCGCGTAGCTGACGAGAGCAATCTGCGAGCTGAGAGCGAGCTCACTCTTGAGTACTCCGCAGGAGCGGAAGTCGAGTAGTCGTCGTCAGATGCCTACGATGTATTCTCTGCCCAGGGAATATTCGTAGCATAGATTGACAGTCATCATATCCTCGCTGCCAGTAGACTTCTGTCTTATCTTATCGTGCAGTCATGTCTTCTGGTTAACATCCTGAGTCTACGGTGCGTGGCCTCTCTGCGATCATCTCTCGTTATGCGCCTCTTTCCTCCTGCTCTTCGTCTCTCTTCTCTCTCTCATACATTAATTTTAAATAAAACATTTTAAATTTGAAATAAACAATAAATATTAACAATAAACATTACACTCAGAAGTTCCAAAAGAATAAAGACATTTCAAATGTCATATTATTTCTATATACAGTGTTGTAACAATGTGCAAATAGTTAATGTACAAATGGGAAAATAAATTAACATAAATATGGATTGTATTTACAGTTGTGTTTGTTCATCACTGGTTGCCCTTTTCTTGTGGCAACAGGTCACAAATCTTGCTGCTGTGATGGCACACTGTGGTATTTCACCCAGTAGATAAGGGAGTTTATCAAAATTGGGTTTGTTTTCGAATTCTTTGTGGATCTCTGTAACCTGAGGGAAATATGTGTCTCTAATATGGTCATACATTTGGCAGGAGGTTAGGAAGTGCAGCTCAGTTTCCACCTCATTTTGTGGGCAGTGTGCACATAGCCTGTCTTCTCTTGAGAGCCAGGTCTGCCTACGGCTGCCTTTCTCAATAGCAAGGCTATGATCACTGAGTCTGTACATAGTCAAGGCTTTCCTTAAGTTTGGGTCAGTCACAGTGGTCAGGTATTCTGCCACTGTGTACTCTCTGTTTAGGGCCAAATAGCATTCTAGTTTGCTCTGTTTTTTTGTTAATTCTTTCCAATGTGTCAAGTAATTATCTTTTTGTTTTCTCATGATTTGGTTGGGTCTAATTGTGTTGTTGTCCTGGGGCTCTGTGGGGTCTGTTTGTGTTTGTGAACACTCACACAGAGATGGCGAGTGACGACCGGGTGGCCATCTTGACGGATGACGAGGGGTATCAGAGGAGGAAGTTTGTCCTGGCAGAACCCTTCAACACCCTGGAGCAGATACCGTCGGGCGCGGGCCCCACCTCTACCTCCCAAGGTCCAGAGTCTCCCCCCACAGACACACCTGACTCCCCCTCCTCCAACCCCAGCCATGACTGCCTGGAGAGGAACTGCGTGCGGATCGACAACCACCTCCTCATTTCCAAGGTCTTCTATTTCTTTTTTTATGCAGCCTATGGGTCCCTACACCCGCTGCTGCCTGTCTACTACAAGCAGCTAGGGATGACTCCCAGTCAGAGCGGCCTGCTGGTCGGGATCCGGTACTTCATCGAATTCTGTAGCGCCCCCTTTTGGGGGGTTGTGGCGGACCGCTTCAAGAAGGGCAAGGTGGTGCTAGTGTTCTCCGTTTTCTGCTGGCTGGTGTTCAACTGCGGCATCGGCTTCATCAAGCCTGCCTCCATGACGTGCGTGGAGAGGAAACCCACAGTCGCACGCCGCACCAGCCCCGCCCACCTCGGTCCGCCAGCCAATTACAGCAGGGACCGCAGGGCTGTGATTGGAGACTTGTTTTCCCTCCCTACGAATGTACGCGGTTTGGCATCAGACTCAGTTAGTGGCGGCCCCCTGCACAGGTATGTGAGGAGCGATGGTGGTAATGTCACTGGACCCAGCACTGTCACAGGACCTGTACCTTCCCCCACCATCACCACAACATCATCTTCCCCCTCCACCACCCCCACTACAACAACAACAACAACAGCCACCTCAAAACCCGCCTCAAATCTAACCACAACCAAACCAACCATCACAACCGCCATTCCCAAAGTCTACGACATAATCTCCGACCACGACCAGGTGGAGGCCATCTTCCTCCTGATCCTGCTTGTCGTCATCATCGGCGAGTTCTTCAGTGCTCCGGCTGTGACCATAGTGGACACGCGCACCCTGCAGTACCTGGGCCCCCACCGGGACCGCTATGGCCTGCAGAGGATGTGGGGCTCCCTGGGCTGGGGCCTGGCCATGCTCTGCGTGGGCATCTGGATCGACCATACCCACATCAAACTCTTCATCCAGGGCACCGGCTGCATTGTGCCCGACTACAAGAACTACCAGATAGCCTTTATTGTCTTTGGAGTCCTGATGGCCGTGGCTTTGATAGTGTGTACACAGTTCTACTTTGAGAGTAGTACTAGTGACCACCGGCCAATGGAGGCCCAGCTGGAGGAGGATAAGAGACAGGAGGCGGAGTCTCCTCAAACTTCCAGTGGCGTTTCATCTCCCGAAGGGCATGCGGTGGAATCATTAGAATCCCAAAGTGTCGTCAGCCAGCCGTTTCTTTACCAGGACCTCATTCGGCTGCTGTGCAGCGTGCAGTACGGCTCAGTGCTCTTCGTGGCCTGGTTCATGGGATTCGGCTACGGCTTTGTGTTCACGTTCCTCTACTGGCACCTGGAGGACCTGAAAGGGACCACCACGCTATATGGAGTGTGCTCGGTGCTGAGCCACATCTCAGAGCTAGTCGCCTACTTCACCAGCCACACGCTCATCGAGCTGGTTGGCCATATAAGGTTAATGAAAGGGGGCACGGGTCAAAAGCAATAGCCTGGTCCCAGGGGGGTATGTCTCAGACCTGAATCAATGAGTTAGCCAGCTAACTTAAATGTTCAGAAATTGCTTTTTTTTAAGGAATATATGATTGATATTGACATGGATTGATTGAATTGTTTAAAACAACAACCCAAGTTCAAGTTTAGGTTCATTAATGAACCAGTAACTGTTTTTATTTCTGAATGTTTAACTTGGTGTTTTGTAGTATACCCCTCAGGTCCGTTAGTAGTATACCCCTCAGGTCTGTTTGTAGTATACCCCTCAGGTCTGTTTGTACAGTAGTATACCCCTCAGGTCCGTTAGTAGTATACCCCTCAGGTCTGTTTGTAGTATACCCCTCAGGTCTGTTTGTACAGTAGTATACCCCTCAGGTCTGTTTGTAGTATACCCCTCAGGTCTGTTTGTAGTATACCCCTCAGGTCTGTTTGTACAGTAGTATACCCCTCAGGTCTGTTTGTAGTATACCCCTCAGGTCTGTTTGTACAGTAGTATACCCCTCAGGTCTGTTTGTAGTATACCCCTCAGGTCTGTTTGTAGTATACCCCTCAGGTCTGTTTGTTAGTATACCCCTCAGGTCTGTTGTAGTATACCCCTCAGGTCTGTTTGTACAGTAGTATACCCTCAGGTCTGTTTGTAGTATACCCCTCAGGTCTGTTTGTAGTATACCCCTCAGGTCTGTTTGTAGTATACCCCTCAGGTCTGTTTGTAGTATACCACTCAGGTCTGTTTGTAGTATACCCCTCAGGTCTGTTTGTAGTATACCCTCAGGTCTGTTTGTAGTATACCCCTCAGGTCTGTTTGTAGTATACCCCTCAGTATACCCCTCAGGTCTGTTTGTAATATACCCTCAGGTCTGTTTGAACAGTAGTATACCCCTCAGGTCTGTTTGTAATATACCCCTCAGGTCTGTTTGTACAGTAATATACCCCTCAGGTCTGTTTGTAATATACCCCTCAGGTCTGTTTGTAATATACCCCTCAGGTCTGTTTGTAATATACCCCTCAGGTCTGTTTGTAATATACCCCTCAGGTCTGTTTGTAGTATACCCCTCAGGTCTGTTTGTACAGTAGTATACCCCTCAGGTATGTTTGTAGTATACCCCTCAGGTCTGTTTGTACAGTAGTATACCCCTCAGGTCTGTTTGTAGTATACCCCTAGGTCTGTTTATAATATACCCTCAGGTCTGTTTGTACAGTAGTATACCCCTCAGGTCTGTTTGTACAGTAGTATACCCCTCAGGTCTGTTTGTAGTATACCCCTCAAGTCTGTTTGTACAGTAGTATACCCCTCAGGTCTGTTTGTAGTATACCCCTCAGGTCTGTTTGTAGTATACCCCTCAGGTCTGTTTGTAGTATACCCTCAGGTCTGTTTGTAGTATTTCCCTCAGGTCTGTTTGTAGTATACCCCTCAGGTCTGTTTGTAGTATACCCCTCAGGGCTGTTTGTAGTATTACCCTCAGGTCTGTTTGTACAGTAGTATACCCTCAGGTATGTTTGTAGTATACCCCTCAAGTCTGTTTGTACAGTAGTATACCCTCAGGTCTGTTTGTAGTATACCCCTCAGGTCTGTTTGTAGTATACCCCTCAGGTCTGTTTGTAGTATACCCCTCAGGTCTGTTTGTACAGTAGTATACCCCTCAGGTCTGTTTGTAGTATACCCCTCAGGTCTGTTTGTAGTATACCCCTCAGGTCTGTTTGTAGTATACCCCTCAGGTCTGTTTGTACAGTAGTATACCCCTCAGGTCTGTTTGTAGTATACCCCTCAGGTCTGTTTGTACAGTAGTATACCCCTCAGGTCTGTTTGTACAGTAGTATACCCCTCAAGTCTGTTTGTAGTATACCCCTCAGGTCTGTTTGTAGTATACCCCTCAGGTCTGTTTGTAGTATACCCCTCAGGTCTGTTTGTAGTATACCCCTCGTGTCTGTTTGTACAGTAGTATACCCCTCAGGTCTGTTTGTAGTATAACCCTCAGGTCTGTTTGTAGTATACCCCTCAGGTCTGTTTGTAATATACCACAGATCTGTTTGTAATATACCCCTCAGGTCTGTTTGTAATATACCACAGGTATGTTTGTAGTATACCCCTCAGGTCTGTTTGTACAGTAGTATACCCCTTAGGTCTGTTTGTAGTATACCCCTCAGGTCTGTTTGTAGTATACCCCTCAGGTCTGTTTGTAGTATACCCCTCAGGTCTGTTTGTAGTATACCCCTCAGGTCTGTTTGTACAGTAGTATACCCCTCAGGTCTGTTTGTACAGTAGTATACCCCTCAGGTCTGTTTGTAGTATACCCCTCAGGTCTGTTTGTACAGTAGTATACCCCTCAGGTATGTTTGTAGTATACCCCTCAAGTCTGTTTGTACAGTAGTATACCCCTCAGGTCTGTTTGTAGTATACCCCTCAGGTCTGTTTGTAGTATACCCCTCAGGTCTGTTTGTAGTATACCCCTCAGGTCTGTTTGTACAGTAGTATACCCCTCAGGTCTGTTTGTAGTATACCCCTCAGGTCTGTTTGTAGTATACCCCTCAGGTCTGTTTGTAGTATACCCCTCAGGTCTGTTTGTAGTATCCCCCTCAGGTCTGTTTGTAGTATACCCCTCAGGTCTGTTTGTAATATACCCCTCAGGTCTGTTTGTAGTATACCCCTCAGGTCTGTTTGTAGTATACCCCTCAGGTCTGTTTGTAGTATACCCCTCAGGTCTGTTTGTACAGTAGTATACCCCTCAGGTATGTTTGTAGTATACCCCTCAAGTCTGTTTGTACAGTAGTATACCCCTCAGGTCTGTTTGTAGTATACCCCTCAGGTCTGTTTGTAATATACCCCTCAGGTCTGTTTGTAATATACCCCTCAGGTCTGTTTGTAGTATACCCCTCAGGTCTGTTTGTAGTATACCCCTCAAGTCTGTTTGTACAGTAGTATACCCCTCAGGTCTGTTTGTACAGTAGTATACCCCTCAGGTCTGTTTGTAGTATACCCCTCAGGTCTGTTTGTAGTATACCCCTCAGATCTGTTTGTAATATACCCCTCAGGTCTGTTTGTAGTATACCCCTCAGGTCAGTTTGTAGTATCCCCCTCAGGTCTGTTTGTAGTATACCCCTCAGGTCTGTTTGTAATATACCCCTCAGGTCTGTTTGTAGTATACCCCTCAGGTCTGTTTGTAGTATACCCCTCAAGTCTGTTTGTACAGTAGTATACCCCTCAGGTCTGTTTGTACAGTAGTATACCCCTCAGGTCTGTTTGTACAGTAGTATACACCTCAGGTCTGTTTGTAGTATACCCCTCAAGTCTGTTTGTACAGTAGTATACCCCTCAGGTCTGTTTATAATATACCCCTCAGGTCTGTTTGTAGTATACCCCTCAGGTCCGTTAGTAGTATACCCCTCAGGTCTGTTTGTAGTATACCCCTCAAGTCTGTTTGTACAGTAGTATACCCCTCAGGTCTGTTTGTAGTAAAGCTCCCGGTACTTTACTTTACCAAAGTTACCGGAATCTGCAGTAATTTTGGTAATTAACAGAGAATCTATGGGAATCTATTGTAAATTTGGTAATTCATACTTGAATAACTAAATTTTGAAAAAGTAATATATTCACTTTTTAGATCTGTATCCATGAGTTTCTTGTAGATAGACCATATGGTTGAAGAGAAAATAGCCTAATTAATGAAAAAAGCATCCAATCAACAATGGCATTATTTTTATTAAGTCTACGCTTCCAACTATTGACTTTTTTCACAACTGCCTCCAGTTTGACGCCAAAACATTGACAGCAAATACATATTCACATAGTTTAAAAAAAGTGTGTAAACAAATATGTAAAGGATATTTCATGCTGAAACCCTCAAATTAAACACCAATGGTATTCACTAAATTGATGGCTTATATTTAGAATAATGTTTTACAGTGTTGTCATTCTATTTTACATTATTTCATGTATTTCACATGTGATAAGGCCACACAGAGGGCCAGACACAAATACAGACTCCTGTAATAATCTGAAATACCCAAAAGGGCCACTAGATGTCATGTGATAGATTACGTAACATCCTGGTAATTTACTGGTAAACTTAGAACATTTCCAGTAATATACCCTCCCCTTGCAACCCTAGTTCAGAATGACCATGACAAACCAACCACAATCCAGGGACAGTTCAGGTTTGACCTCTGAACTTTGGCTTTGCTTTCACCTGCAACTCTGTTGAGGCAATAACCTCCTATAGGTTTAGGTTAGGGTTAGGGTTTAGGTTAGGGTTAGGGTTTAGGATAGGGTTAGGGTTTAGGATAGGGTTAGGGTTTAGGTTAGGGTTAGGGTTTAGGATAGGGTTAGGGTTATGTTTGTGATTGGTGGATGGTTACTTGAACAGTGTAGTGAGTAGTGATAGTTCAACAACATTTATAAAACATTTGTTTTACCTTCTCCTCCTCCTCCTCCCCTCTCTCTCCACAGGGTGCTGTACATCGGTCTGGCCTGCAACACAGCTCGCTACCTGTACATCTCCTACCTGGAGAATGCCTGGATCGTCCTGCCCATGGAGGTCCTTCAGGGTAAGGCTACACTGGGTGGCACGGCACGGTCACGCATGACGGCATATGTTGACTTAGCTTAGCTTAGCTTAGCTAATGTTAACATTAGATAGAAATTGTTTGGACTGGCTTCACCAGTACACTTACATTGTTGCCGTGTTGGCTCAGAGTTCATATCAGGCAGGACAGGAACTCTCCTCTCAACGAAATGAAAGGCTTTTCCTTCGCCTGGAAAACACCCTTTTCCTCTGTATCTAGACTTCACTGAAAGCCACTTAGGCCATGAATTACAATGTTGCAGCTGCACACGAAAGATTAACATGAAAGCATGCTTAAAATGTTTGTAATCATCACACTAGAGGCGTAACAACACCAAAAAAAAAAGAGACACACTTAGAGACACAAATAATCTCTTTTGAAAATTCTAAAGTAAGTGGTATGACAATAACAAAACAAAACAAACAAAATGGCCGTAGCTCTGGTCTGGCCATTGTTTTCTGGGAGTGGGAGCTTATGCCACATTCACGTCATGTCGGAAACTCGGGAACTCTTAAAATGAACGTATGTTATTCGCGTAGCGCTTCCAATTGGTTGAGTCTGATACTTCCTAGTGGGAAACTCGGGTATGATCTTTTTACAAAGAGTAAGCAAGTTGGATATTTTAGAGTGTCCGACATGGCGTGAACAAGGCATACGCAGGGGCAAGGCCTGGCCGGACTATGGGGGGTAGCAGGTTCTATTACAATGATGACAACGAGGCATGTTGACTTTGAACTAGCTGGTTGAGCCAAACACGGCACACCCAGCAAGGGTTAAGGAAGAGGGTTAAGTCAACTCTCTCTCGCCTGCCACCTGCCATGAACACACACAGGATATGTCCTCCACTTGACATCAATTAGAAAATGGCTCCCAAGATGTGTATCTTTCCCTTACCAAAAAGTCTAGTGTAGTGTACAGCTGTTAATACTAACACAATAGAGTTTCACTGGCCTGTTTGTTTGTTTGTTTCTGCTTATTAGTGTAATGTGAAAGGGACAGATTTTAAATGTTATGTTTGTTCTACTGACGTTTCTTTTTATTACCTACTGCTCTACAGTGAGGGGAAAAAAGTATTTGATCCCCTGCTGATTTTGTACGTTTGCCCACTGACAAAGACATGATCAGTCTATAATTTTAATGGTAGGTTTATTTGAACAGTGAGAGACAGAATAACAACAAAAAAATCCAGAAAATCGCATGTAAGAAATGTTATAAATTGATTTGCATTTTAATGAGGGAAATTAGTAGTTGACCCCCTCTCAATCAGAAAGATTTCTGGCTCCCAGGTGTCTTTTATACAGGTAACGAGCTGAGATTAGGAGCACACTCTTAGAGGGAGTGCTCCTAATCTCAGTTTGTTACCTGTATAAAAGACACCTGTCCACAGAAGCAATCAATCAATCAGATTCCAAACTCTCCACCATGGCCAAGACCAAAGAGCTCTCCAAGGATGTCAGGGACAAGATTGTAGACATTTTACATTTTTTACATTTTAGTCATTTAGCAGACGCTCTTATCCAGAGCGACTTACAGTTAATTAGTGCCTACATTATGTTTTTCATACTGTCCCTACACAAGGCTGGAATGGGCTACAAGACCATCGCCAAGCAGCTTGGTGAGAAGGTGACAACAGTTGGTGCGATTATTCGCAAATGGAAGAAACACAAAAGACTGTCAATCTCCCTCGGCCTGGGGCTCCATGCAAGATCTCACCTCGTGGAGTTGCAATGATCATGAGAACGGTGAGGAATCAGCCCAGAACTACACGGGAGGATCTTGTCAATGATCTCAAGGCAGCTGGGACCATAGTCACCAAGAAATCAATTGGTAACGCACTACACCGTGAAGGACTGAAATCCTGCAGCGCCCGCAAGGTCCCCCTGCTCAAGAAAGCACATATACAGGGCCGTCTGAAGTTTGCCAATGAACATCTGAATGATTCAGAGGAGAACTGGGTGAAAGTGTTGTGGTCAGATGAGACCAAAATCGAGCTCTTTGGCATCAACTCAACTCGCCGTGTTTGGAGGAGGAGGAATGCTGCCTATGAACCCAAGAACACCATCCCCACCGTCAAACATGGAGGTGGAAACATTATGCTTTGGGGGTGTTTTTCTGCTAAGGGGACAGGACAACTTCACCGCATCAAAGGGACGATGGACGGGGCCATGTACCGTCAAATCTTGGGTGAGAACCTCCTTCCCTCAGCCAGGGCATTGAAAATGGGTCGTGGATGGGTATTCCAGCATGACAATGACCCAAAACACACGGCCAAGGCAACAAAGGAGTGGCTCAAGAAGCAGCACATTAAGGTCCTGGAGTGGCCTAGCCAGTCTCCAGACCTTAATCCCATAGAAAATCTGTGGAGGGAGCTGAAGGTTCGAGTTGCCAAATGTCAGCCTCGAAACCTTAATGACTTGGAGAATATCTGCAAAGAGGAGTGGAACAAAATCCCTCCTGAGATGTGTGCAAACCTGGTGGCCAACTACAAGAAACGTCTGACCTCTGTGATTGCCAACAAGGGTTTTGCCACCAAGTACTAAGTCATGTTTTGCAGAGGGGTCAAATATTTATTTCCCTCATTAAAATGCAATTCAATTTATAACATTTTTGACATGCGTTTTTCTGGATTTTTTTGTTGTTATTCTGTCTCTCACTGTTCAAATAAACCTACCATTAAAATTATAGACTGATCATGTCTTTGTCAGTGGGCAAACGTACAAAATCAGCAGGAGATCAAATACTTTTTTCCCTCACTGTATATCTCTGTTCTGCTAGGGAGGTATATTGACTTAACAAGTCAATAACTAGGTCTAATCGTAATACTCCCTTCCCTGACCTTGTAATAATGATGTGTCTCTTTCACTCTCTCTCTCTCTCTCTCTCTCTCTCTCTCTCTCTCTCTCTCTCTTCTCTCTCTCTCTCTCTCTCTCTCTCTCTCTCTCTCTCTCTCTCTCTCTGTCTGTCTATCGCTCTCTCTGTCTCTCTCTCTATCGCTCTCTCTCTCTGTATCTCTCTCTGTCTCTCTCTCTATCGCTCTCTCTCTGTATCTCTCTCTCTCTCTCTCTCTGTCTCTCTCTCTATCGCTCTGTCTCTCTCTATCTCTCTCTGTCTCTGTCAATTCAATTCAATTTAAGGGCTTTATTGGCATGGGAAACGTATATTAACATTGCCAAAGCAAGTGAAGTAGATAGTTAACAAAAGTGAAATAAACAATAAATATTAACAGTAAACATTACACTCAGAAGTTCCAAAAGAATAAAGACATTTCAAATGTCATATTATGTATATATACAGTGTTGTAACATCTCTCTCTCTCTCTCTCTCTCTCTCTCTCTCTCTCTCTCTCTCTCACATTTCATTTTAAGGGTCATATTATGTCTATATACAGTGTTATAATGATATGCAAATAGTTAAAGTACAAAAAGGAAAATAAATAAACATAATGTAAATGTAATAAATATAGGTTGTATTTACAATGGTGTTTGTTCTTCACTGGTTGCCCTTTTCTTGTGGCAGCAGGTCACAAATCTTGCTGCTGTGACTGCACACTGTGGTATTTCACCCAATAGATATGTTTTTTATAGATATGGAGTTTATCCACATTTGATTTGTTTTCTAATTCTTTGTGGGTCTGTGTAATCTGAGGGAAGTATGTGTCTCTAATATGGTCATACATTTGGCAGGAATTTAGGAAGTGCAGCTCAGTTTCCACCTCATTTTGTGGGCAGTGTGCACATAGCCTTTCTTCTCTTGAGAGCCAGGTCTGCCTACGGCGGCCTTTCTCAATAGCAAGGCTATGCTCACTGAGTCTGTACATAGTCAAAGATTTCCTTAATTTTGGGTCAGTCACAGTGGTCAGGTTTTCTGCCACTGTGTACTCTCTGTTTAGGGCCAAATAGCATTCTAATTTGCTCTGTTGTTGTGTTAATTCTTTCCAATGTGTCAAGTAATTATATTTTAGTTTTCTCATGATTTGGTTGGTTCTAATTGTGTTGCTGTCCTGGACCAGCTTGCTTAGGGGACTCTTCTCCTGGTTCATCTCTCTGTAGGTGATGGCTTTGTTATAGAAGGTTTGGGAATCGCTTCCTTTTAGGTGGTTGTAGAATTTAACGGCTCTTTTCTGGATTTTGATAATTAGTGGGTATTGGCCTAATTCTGCTCTGCATGCATTATTTGGTGTTTTACGTTGTACATGTAGGATGTTTTTGCAGAATTCTGCATGCAGAGTCTAAATTTGGTGTTTGTCCCATTTTGTGAATTCTTGGTTGGTGAGTGGACCCCAGACCTCACAACCATAAAGGGAAATGGGTTCTATAACTGATTCAAGTATTTTTAGCCAGATCCTAATTGGTATGTTGACTTTTATGTTCCTTTTGATGGCATAGAAGGCCCTTCTTGTCTTGTCTCTCAAATCGTTCACAGCTTTGTGGAAGTTACCTGTGGCGCTGATGTTTAGGCTGAGGTATGTATCGTTTTTTTGTGTGCTCTAGGGCAACAGTGTCTAGATGGAATTTGTACTTGTGGTCCTGGCAACTGGACCTTTTTTGGAACACCATTCTTTTTGTCTTACTGAGATTTACTGTCAGGGCCCAGGTCTGACAGAATCTGTGCAGAATGTGAATATGTGGTCTGTTGTACGGTAATTTGGTAAAAAGCCAATTTGACATTTGCTCAGTACAATGTTTTCACTGAGGAAATGAACTAGTCTGCTGTTAATGATAATGCAGAGGATTTTCCCAAGGTTGATGTTGACGCATATCCCACGGTAGTTATTGGGGTCAAATTTGTCTCCACTTTTGTGGATTGGGGTGATCAGTCCTTGGTTCCAAATATTGGGGAAGATGCCAGAGCTAAGGATGATGTTAAAGAGTTAAAATATAGCCAATTGGAATTTGTGGTCTGTATATTTTATCATTTCATTGAGGATACCATCAACACCACAGGACTTTTTGGGTTGGAGGGTTTGTCTTTTGTCCTGTAGTTCATTCAATGCAATTGGAGAATCCAGTGGGTTCTGGTAGTCTTCAATAGTTGATTCTAAGATTTGTATTTGATCATGTACAGTGAGGGAAAAAAGTATTTGATCCCCTGCTGATTTTGTATTCTGTTATTCTGTTCAAATAAACCTACCATTAAAATTATAGACTGATCATGTCTTTGTCAGTGGGCAAACGTACAAAATCAGCAGGGGATCAAATACTTTTTTCCCTCACTGTATATGTTTTTGCTGTTTGTTTGTTCGTTGTTATAGGGCCAAAAAGATTGGAGAAGTGGTTTACCCATACATCTCAGTTTTGGATAGATAACTATTTGTGTTGTTGTTTGTTTAGTGTTTTCCAATTTTCCCAGAAGTGGTTTGAGTCTATGGACTCTTCAATTACATTTAGCTGATTTCTGACGTGCTGTCCCTTCTTTTTCCATAGTTTATTTCTGTATTGTTTTAGTGATTCACCATAGTGAAGGAGTAGGCTCAGGTTTTCTGGGTCTCTATGTTTTTGGTTGGATAGGTTTCTCAATTTCTTTCTTAGGTTTTTGCATTCTCAAATCAAATAAAATAAAATTTTATTTGCCACATGCGCCGAATACAGCAGGTGTAGACATTACAGTGAAATGCTTACTTACAAGCCCTTAGCCAACAATGCAAAGTAAAAAATAAAAATAAAAAGTGTTAAGCAAAAGAAATAAAAGCAAATAACTAAAGAGCAGCAGTAAAATAAAATAACCGTAGGGAGGTTATATACAGGGGGGTACCGGTGCAGAGTCAATGTGCGGGGGCGCCGGCTAGTCGAGGTAATTGAGGTAATATGTACATGTGGGTAGAGTTAAAGTGGCTATGCATAAATAATTAACAGAGTAGCAGCAGCGTAAAAGAGGGGGGTGAGGTGGGGTGGGGGGGCAGTGCAAATAGTCCGGGTAGCCATGATTAGCTGTTCAGGAGTCTAATGGCTTGGGGGTAGAAGCTGTTGAGAAGCCTTTTGGACCTAGACTTGGCGCTCCGGTACCGCTTGCCTTGCGGTAGCAGAGAGAACAGTCTATGACTAGGGTGGCTGGAGTCTTTGACAATTTTGAGGGCCTTCCTCTGACACCGCCTGGTATAGAGGTCCTGGATGGCAGGAAGCTTGGCCCCAGTGATGTACTGTGCCGTACGCACTACCCTCTGTAGTGCCTTGCGGTCAGAGGCCAAGCAGTTGCCATACCAGGCGATGGTTCTTCATCAAACCATTTGTCATTGTTGTTAATTTTCTCTCTGTCTCTCTCTCTCTCTCTCTCTCTCTCTCTCTCTCTCTCTCTCTGTCTCTCTGTCTCTCTGTCTGTATCTCTGTGTATCTAGGTGTGACCCATGCCTCAGTGTGGGCAGCTTGTATCTCCTACCTCAGTGCTGCGGTGCCTCCAGAGCTGAGGACCTCTGCCCAGGGTATCCTCCAGGGCCTGCATCTGGGGCTGGGCCGGGGCTGTGGGGCCATGGTGGGGGGAGTCTTCGTCAACTTTTTTGGTAAGAACCACTGTGTGAGGAGAAAACAGACGGACTGTATTTATAGAAGTTGTATTTAATTGATTTGAGTATCCCCCAGTTCTAGAGTATGTAAAACACATTCAACCAAAGAGAGATGGAGCTATTGGCGTCACACGTCAAAGGTATTATTAGCAGTATAGACTGCTGTTCAATGTTACATTTGCTGCTCTATGTTCATTAATTGAAATGACCATTGAGAACAGCAGTAACTATTGTAGATTTGACATTTAACAGAATGTAGCTTCCCTCCTCCTTGACCAGCTAGTTTTACATTTTAGTCATTTAGCAGACGCTCTTATCCAGAGCGACTTACAGTTAGTGAGTGCATACATTTTTCACACTGGCCCCCCCCGTGGGAAACGAACCCACAATCCTGGCGTTGCAAGCGCCATGCTCTACCAACTGAGCTACACGGGGCCCCGTGTAGTTGTACTCACACGTGTCATAGTCCCACATGCCTTTCCAGCTGTTGAACAACGCCTCCTCTCCTTAAAATGATGACCTGTCCTCCATGGTTTTCATAAGATAATCCAGGTATTAACTCTTAATAAACTTCCACCAGCCTCATCTTCAATCATTAGGATAGGAATTTGATGGTTTGGAATGCACTTGGCAGCTCTCCCAGAATAACACCTGTCCCTCCCTCTCTGTGATCTGAAACACATATTGATGACTGGGGTAAAATATATCCCTTACAGTGCTGAAATGGACATAGATTTTCTGTTTTTCTGTTATATGAAAAGCAATGAGTGAAAACAAATACATTTATTTATTTGGTTTCCAAAAGCCTATGGAGCAGGGGGCTATGGGGTTGATTTGGAATTCAGAAATACTGTACACGTTTGTCTTTTTGGGTTATGGTTTTAGGAGCGGCTCACACCTTCAGTGGGATTGGAATGTCCTCCCTCGTCATCCTCCTCCTCTTCGCTCTCATCCAGTGGCTGGCTGTGCAGAGTGGGGACGAAGGTATGTGTCATTAAAGTTTGATTTGATCCTGTCTGCTTCATGGCGTGCTTCCTGCTTGGACTACAGAAAAACAGCGGCACCTATTATACCCCTTAGTGGAGAAGTGACTGGCTTCCAATGTGGCATGCAGAACATTTACAGCCAGAACATTTATAGCCACTATCGTTTTATCCTCTTTCTCAATCAGCAACTGAGAAATTCATAGACATCAGAATGCTGCATGAATCATATTTAGGATCTTTAATAGTGGAGATAGTTGTTAGGTCGGACACGTTAGCAGAATAATCATTTTGAAGCATGCCAGGAATTGTTATGAAACATTTTGCTTGTGTTGTTTTCCAGATCCCAGAATGCTGGCGGAGAACATCCCGGTTCCCTCCAGCCCTGTTCCCATAGCGACCATAGATGTTATCCAATCAAATAACGCAGAAGCCACAATGACACCACCGAGGAAGACCAAGCACCAGGAGGATCAGGAGGACGTGAGCAAGCCCGCCTGGGTGGTGTCCGCCTCACCCTGGGTCACCCTGGCCTTCGCCCTGCACCAGATCAGACAGACGGCAATCCTTGCCAGGAGCAGCCCTGCCAACAACCATCAGCCGCTGCAGGTACTGTATGTAGACAGGGTGGCTGGCAGCTCGTGGGCTTCAGGCATAGACTGATGGGTTCAGGAATAGACTGATGGGTTCAGGCATAGACTGATGGGTTCAGGGATAGACTGATGGGTTCAGGAATAGACTGATGGGTTCAGGGATAGACTGATGGGTTCAGGAATAGACTGATGGGTTCAGGAATAGACTGATGGGTTCAGGCATAGACTGATGGGTTCAGGAATAGACTGATGGGTTCAGGAATAGACTGATGGGTTCAGGAATAGACTGATGGGTTCAGGGATAGACTGATGGGTTCAGGAATAGACTGATGGGTTCAGGAATAGACTGATGGGTTCAGGCATAGACTGATGGGTTCAGGAATAGACTGATGGGTTCAGGAATAGACTGATGGGTTCAGGGATAGACTGATGGGTTCAGGAATAGACTGATGGGTTCAGGGATAGACTGATGGGTTCAGGAATAGACTGATGCGTTCAGGGATAGACTGATGCGTTCAGGCATAGACTGATGGGTTCAGGAATAGACTGATGGGTTAGGGATAGACTGATGGGTTCAGGCATAGACTGATGGGTTCAGGAATAGTCTGATGGGTTCAGGCTGTGCTTTGAGGCTGGGCCCAAAGACATGTCACTGGGCAGAGAAAGAAAAAGGTAATTTTTGTGATTGTTACCTTTGTGATAATGAAATGTGATGGTGGTTTATCTAGGAATTTGTGCATGTTCCAGCCAAGTTTCCATGTTGTATCATGTCCTCCTGAGAATTGTCTTCTTTATATCATACATCCCATCTTGAAGAAAGGTGAGAATATAATTCCTGCCTTTAGACCGATATTTTAGGAGGGTGTTTTTCATATTGTAGTGACCTTAACCCAACTCCTAGCGAGCTCGGCAAGAGGCTCGGACGTAACGGTTAAGGTGTTGGCTTGACATTCGTTGGACCCAAATTTGCTACAATATCTATGCATTTGCTAAGTGCTATAATTACAGTATTAAAGAGAACTATAATGTAACACTTTCCCTTTGCTCTGATTGGTAGGAGATAAATGATATCAGCACAGATGAACCAACAGAGGAAACCTCCCCATCCCTAGACCCTCCCAGCAAGTCCCCCCCCAGACTGGCCCCTCTCAAGTGGGAGCCCCACTCCTTGACCAGGACCCCTCTACGCCTGCTGACCAACCACCCCTCTCCACTGGCCACACACAGTAGGGTATTGGAAAGAGGGGACACGTTGCACATTGAGGAACTGCCCTAAAATGTTTTCCTCCCAAGCAACACCAAGTCAAGGGGTGGCCCATGTACAGCTAGGTAGTCCAGCTAAAAGAGAGAGAGAGAGAGAGAGAGAGGGAGGGAGTATGATTTTACAGACTGGACAGAAGAGAAATACAGACCAAAATGAAGGAGGTTGAATTCGTCCTCTTAGCAGACATGTCTTAACAAGTGCCTTTAGGGATCTGAGGAAAAGCGCTTGCCTTGAATGATCTATTGTTACTCTGTCAAGTGGACATCAAAAGAGTAACAGAGTTTTATTTATTTTACTTATAGTGGAAGTCTGGGATAGTGGGTTCGATTGAATAAGGCTCCATTTGTTTCGCTGGCCCTTAAAGTGCTGCAGTGCTGTTGTAGGTTGGTGATTCACGCTCATGTAGCAGCAGTGACACACTCAATCTAAATAGCTGTGTGTAATGGCTGCTTTGCGTGATGTGGACGGTAGAGATTCCTCTTTCATAAAGTTTAGGAGCAAAATTCAAATAGGCAAACGTTGTGGAACGTTGCAGATAGCAACTTTATTAATATGGGCTCCCGACTGGCGCAGCGGTCTAAGGCACTGCATCTCAGTGCTTGAGGCGTCACTACAGACCCCCTGGTTCGATTCCAGGCTGTATCACAACTGGCCGTGATTGGGAGTCCCATAGGGCGGCGCACAATTGGCCCAGCGTCGTCCTGGTTTGGCCGGTGTAGGCCGTCATCGTAAATAAGAATTTGTTCTTAACTGACTTGCCTAGTTAAATAATGGTAAAATATTATTTATTTTAAAAAATAATATAACGGGTTTGATTACTAATTCTACATGTCAGAGAGACGTGTGCATCACAGGAGGCTGGTGGGGAGGACAGGCTGGTGGTAATGGCTGGAGCGGAATGGTATCAAATACATCAAACACATGGTTTCCAGGTGTTTGATGCCATTCCATTTGCTCCATTCTGGCCATTTATTATGAGCCGTCCTCCCCTCAGCAGCCTCCACTGTTCTACATACTATATTGATATCCGCCAGTTCCACAACGTTGTGCTCTCTTGAAGGTGGCCCTGCTTTTACATGTACATGTTTACTGTGTCTCGTGACTAGTCTAACACCTATCAGCCACTGATGCCGTGGAAAAATATAATTATTTAAAAAAGGTTTATGAAGCGATCGTGTCAGATCTGATATGATATCCACCAGGCTTTTAGGGTCTGTAATTACTATTAAACTATAACGCCATGAGTTCTGAAGACAACCCCTTTCTATATTTATTGAAAAAAGTGTCTTAAGGCCTGGCCAAATTGTCTAAACGTCAAATATTGCACTATAATCATGTTTAGACAGAATTTGTTAATAATATCAGACCGCTTTCCTCCAAAGGACTATCTAAAACTGTTCATAGACATGTCATTTCCATTTTACATGCCTTGTCTGCTACGTAGCCTGTCTCCTACCTGAGAACTACTACTCTCAGTGCACTGTGGCATTCATCTCAAGGTGAAACATCAATACAACATCACTGGAAAAGTAGGATGGGCTTATTTATTAATAAAAACAAACCTTTAAAAATTAATCTTTGTAATTTAATAGGAGAAATATGCACTAAATGTAAAATCACTTTAATGCTGTTTGATATAAAAGGATTTTTTTTTAAATATAAAAATAAAACGTTGCCCCTTGACAGACATGGTCCAATCAAAATCTCTGTTTGATGTTTACAGCATGTGATTGGCTGTCCCTGAGGCTGCAGTCTCCTAAGCAGCCAGGTGGGGGCGGTAGATGGGAGGACATGAGAGCTTGTTCCAGTGACCAGCACGGCAGCAGGTCTCAAAGCCCCAGGCACTTACCACACAGGAGAAAAACAACAAATGTACTAACGATTGCTGCCGGTTAACCTGAGAGCTATAAGCACCATTTGAAAGTCATTCTGGTGATTAGTTGTAACTACGACGCAGAGTTTTGGATTCCAGAGGGAGACAAATGTCTGCTTTGACTATGATTAGAGTGGGATGACAGCCTGAGGAAGAGTTTCTGGGTCACGATGAAGTCAAATCCGCTGAGAGAGACGATACATCTGAGAGACTCTGGGTCTCCACTTGCACACTTTCTTCCATTGATTTTACAAAATGGTGGAAACTCCCTCTAGCCAATGCTTACACCAATCCTTTTAAATCCATGACAGGGAGTGTACAAGTACACACTTCTGGAAAAAGGGTGGAGAATCAGGAGGTAGCATTTGAGGAATGATGGGAACACTCAAGTCCCCTAAAGTCTCTGCTGCCTCCAGTCACAGGGCTGTCTGCTCTTCTCATTAGGTGTTTTATCATGGAAGATGAAGCTGAGAGGTACCGCCCCCTACTTTCTGCCTGGCCATTTTAGGGTCCCCCTGTTCACCACAGTGGTTTCAATAGAGTTTAGAAGAGCTGCATGTCCTCGTCCTCTATGAGGTAGGGCTCTGGGGGGGGTGGGGGGGGGGGTGAAGGTGCTGGCGGGCGGGCAGGGGGCAGAGCTGACAGGGCATGGGTGTGTTCTGAATGTAGAGGAGGGAGTTAGATGTAGGCGGAGCCCGGGCGTGAGTTAGATGTAGGCGGAGCCCGGGCGTGAGTTAGATGTAGGCGGAGCCCGGGCGTGAGTTAGATGTAGGCGGAGCCCGGGCGTGAGTTAGATGTAGGCGGAGCCCGGGCGTGAGTTAGATGTAGGCGGAGCCCGGGCGTGAGTTAGATGTAGGCGGAGCCCGGGCGTGAGTTAGATGTAGGCGGAGCCCCGGCGTAGCTGTCCATCTCGTCTTTGCTGAGGTCGTCCCCGTGGTGGGCGGAGGTGAAGAGCATGTCCTCGTAGCAGGCCCCTCCTGGGCCGTAAGGCTGCTCCTGGCTCTGCTGCTTGCCGGGAGTCACATGGCAGAGAGCTGCATCATTAACCACCACTACAACTATGTTCAGTTAAGCACTCAACAGCTGGGTGCTTTTAAAGCAGAAAGTTCAAATAGTTGTGTGTGTCAGTCTTGTACAGTTGTGACGTTTGAAGTGCAGGGAGCCGAGTCTGAGGACTGTAGTTAATGTGTGAGTCCCAGTGGTGTAAAGTACTTAAGTTAAAATACTTTAAAGTACTACTTAAGTAGTTTTTCAGGGGTATCTGTACTTTACTATATTTTTGACAACTTTTACTCCACCACATTCCTAAAGAAAAGAATGTACTTTATTCTCCATACATTTTCCCTGAGACCCAAAAGTACTCTGTACATTTTAAATACTTAGGACAGGAAAATGGTGCAATTCACACACTTATCAAGAGAACATCCCAGGTCATCCCTACTGCCTCTGATCTAGCGGACTCACTAAACACAAATGCTTCGTTTGTAAATGATGTCCGAGTGTTGGAGTGTGCCCCAGGCTATCCGTAAATAAATAAAAACAAGAACATTGTGCCGTCTGGTTTGCTTAATATAAGGAATTTTAAAAGAGTTATACTTTTACTTTTGATACTTAAAAAAGGTGCACTATGCAGAAATTGCTAAGCCATTTCCTGGTTGCTAAAAGTTCGCCTAATTTCAATTTATATGTGGCAAAATAAGCAAGTATAGTGTAGAGAATCACAGTACCATCTAAACCACTAGGAAATATATTTTCCATAACCAAAAATATTGCATTTTCAGCTGTTTGAAGCTGGTGTACAAAACCGAAAGTACAAGACGCAAAAACGAAACTTAAGAACGAGCATAGAAATAGCGCACATAGAACAGATCTACCGCTTCTTAGACTTGCTTTCAATGAGAATGACAGATCTATAATTCATATTTCTATGTGA